ACATCAATAAGCACCAGTGGTGGGTTCCTCCCGGTTTGGTCCGGTTCGGCCGAGCCAATAGCGGTGATGATATGATGTCACCGAACCGGTTCTCCCTCCCCGCCCTCCCACCTCCCCACCCCCCCACGTTATTCTTACCTTTTATTTGGTCCCACCCCCAATCTATTGCTGCCTCCTGAGTCCCAGCTGATGACTAGAGGGAAAAAAACTGTTTAAACTCTTGCCGCGGGGCTTCAAAGGGCCATTCTACAGCTGATCAGTGTTAAAAGCAAACAAATGAGTCGGGTCGTAAGTGCGAGAACTGGTTGTAAGTGCGAGGACCTTCCAGAAATGACTCTGACCAGCTAGCCACGCCTACCTACTCACATGATCTCCAAGCCACACCTACAAAATAAGCCACACCCACTGAACCGGTAGTAAAAAAATTTAGAACCCACCCCTGATAAACACCCGAGATTCATTACTGCAATGAATTTCATTTTACACACAGAGACTCCATCTATATGCAGGTTATCTAGACATGTTGAAGGCATGTAGCTGGATGTGAATTAGTATCTCAAGCGTTTTCGAATCTCAAGTGTTTAATTTTTTTTCTCATTTCTAGAAGATGTCAAAATTCATACAGTTAGCCATTGTTTTAAATCACACGCTTTTATACTGCACTGTGTTGCCCTATACTTTCCATAATCTTAATATTTTAGTGGGGTTTTGATTTTTATTATCTGTATTCATAATTCCAAATTTTAGTTAGTTTCCTACAGTCTTTAGGTCAGGCTGACACCATGGAATGCTTATCAATGTCATTACTTAATGCTATAGTAAAACCTCTGGTCACAAACACTTCTGAGCATGACCAAATCAGGTTCCAACCAAAAAATTCACAATTTTTTTTTCATGGCTGATTTCCCCCCCCCCCTTTTTTTTTCTTTTTTTTTTTTGTGTGTGTGTAAGCACCAAATTTCCAAAATTAGGTTTGGGTCATGACCAAATCGGGTTGCGACCAAAGTTATGAAATGAATTATGGTCATGACCAGAGTTTCTACTGTATATGATTCTAGTCGATGAACAAAATAAAGATACCTCACTAACAATAGCAATAACTAAGAACACAGTTGGGCAATGCCTGTTATCCCTGGGTACATCCCACTAATCAGAGAGAAGAAAAGTCAGGGAATTCCTAGAGAAGTCCTATTTTGGAGAGACTGCTCTAGACAATCATCTCTCTCCTGCCAGCTGGAAGAGAAACTTAATTCTCTGTTCATTTCTGTTTGTCTAACACTATAGATCAAAGGAAACCGTACTCACTCATCTAAGGACCAATTATCATGTTCACAAAACATGCTTCTCCCTTCTACTTGATCCAGTTAAATGAGTTTTGTGAAAACAGCCAATATTTCTGCAGGAAAAAAAGCCAGTAGTGTGTACAAACAAGGAGGGAAATGTACCAATGAGACTATATTGATGGGAAAATTGATGTTCTTATTTTATAACGCAGGAGTTGATAAGCTACTGGAAAGTTTCCAGACTTTTTCCTTTTGTTTTTCCTTTCCCTTTTTTGCCATCATGGTACTTGAAGTTTTCATCACTGAGCTTCTGCATGATAAAGGCAGGCACCTATGATCCTTCAACTTTTGATAAACCTAGGCAACTCCTCAAGCAACTTAACAATGAGAAAGTATGCTGGACAATAGAAGTCAACAATCTTTGAAGACAGCAGACTTCCCATTTCTACCATCCAGTTCAAGTGAACCATTGTGGTGAATATCACAGACCTGTTCTCCAGGAATTTGCCATCCCTTTTAATGGCTGCCTAAATTGGTAGCCCTCACATCTCTGTAAATTAAATTTCCTACATTTAGTATACATTATGAACATAGCTTTTTTTGTCATTCCTGAACCCAAGCCATTTGAATAGTTGACTTTGATTACCAATATTATGGAAAGAGGCCAATGTTTCTCTCAGTCCTTTGTGAGTTTAGGGGCATCCAGAGATTGTTTTATAAGTTTCCTGGGAACCTTCCCTTCCTTTGTTTAATGCACGGTTGTCCAGCCTTTTGATTTGCAAGGGCCACATTGAGTGAAGAGGAATTGTCTTGGACCACAAATAAAATATATCATACAGTTAATGAGTATAAATCATGTAATAATATTAAAAGTTTGGGATCTTGTGGGGCCACATTATCAGCTGTCCAGGGCCACATGCGTCCCATGGATTGCAGTTTGGACATGCCTGGTTTAAAGCATTTTCATTTCACCACATTAGGGTTTAATTAATTGGAACTGGGGCTAAATAAATCTGCTAATAAAAACTGTCAGTGGAATTTTTTCATCCAAATGTAATTTTCTGGAAGAGCGGGAATTAGATTATTTGCCACTTTCTCTTTTTTCTTCTGCTCCCTTGAGATCTCTGCAAATCTTCTCCAGAAGGTTATGGGCCCTCTGGACTATTAGGTGAAGTTTGATTAGAGAAGAATAAGAGAGAGTTTTGATGCCACAGGGAACAGTTTCCTTGACACATGTTTAGAGCTGATCCTGGCAGTAGAATAAAACTATGAATCAAATAATTGATGTGGAAGAGGTCAGCTTGAAATCATTTTGTTTTAAGGATGTTGGGTTTCAGCCATTTTTAGTAACCATTTTGTTTCTCCTAAACATCATTTCTGTATCTAACATGTTTCCTTGGTAGTGTTTAGAATCCACATTATCCCACATATTTTGGTTGGGTTTTTTTTATTTATTTTTTAAGGCTAGTAAATCTTTATTTAATGAAATTTCTTTTCAGACTTATAGGCATCCATCCAGCAGTTTGGAAGATGTAACAACGAAGCTCATGATTCAAACCTGCTTGAAATATATGAACAAATGATAACCAGTTGTGATAGTCATTCACATTTTTACAATATTTAAAAATATGTCTGAATATCCAGAAATAATTTTGTGATTTGATTTATTCCCACTCCACTTGAAGTGTTTAATAGATGCAATATGGGACAACCAAAAAATCTTGCTTATTACAGTTATTAGCTTGGTAATTCTCCAAGATGAAATCATACTTTTCAGGTTATAAATATACATTTTTATTGTTGATTTTATGCTGAATTTGAAATATTGCTTCTCTGCTTTCATATTTTCAGTGCTGTATTACAGTACTATAAATCAGCTTAGCAGTAAAGGAATTCTAATTGGTATCAGGTGATTTTCTTTCTGTTTTTTAAGAAGAGGGGAAAAGTTAAACTTACATCCTTTGTGAACAAAGATAGGTTCTGGTGAAGTCCTTTTAATAAAATCAGATGTGTGTAAAATGTATCTGATTTATCTTCTTGAGAAGATCAGTCAGTTAAAAGAATGCTCCGTATACACATCAAAGTGTACATAAAAATTGAAAACCATCATAAAGGTGCCTCTTAAATGGCTAACAAAATACATAGAATATTTTTCCTTTGTCTATTTTATTTCCATTTCCTATTTCATTAATGGATAGCATGCTTGTTGCTTCTTTCTATGCTTATAAGGTATATAAAGCCTTAAAATATTCAGTAAAGTCATTAGTTATGAACCTGGCAAGTTACTGAATTCTGCATTATTCAACCCCAGAATTATTTTATGACTTTAGCTATAGAAAACTCGTGGAAATTGGAAAATCTCTCATCTACAATCAAATGAAGCCTTCCAGATCTTTCTATCCAGTTTTCTTCTTTCTCCCCAATTTTATATTTATGTTAATTATATGATAATGTATATGGTGAGTGTGTGTGTGTGTGTGTGTGTGTGTGTGTGTGTGTGTTAATTAATGAAACTGCTTGCCTCCTGGAGTTGGGGGCGCTCCATCACTGGAGGTGTTCAAAAATAGACTGGACAACCATATCACCAGGATGGTATAAGATCTCTTGCCCTGAGCAAGAAGTTGGACTAGAAGATAGGAAGTAAGATAGGTCAATAGAAGTTATGGAAGTAGGATAAGTCAATAAAAATGGTATGCCATAGAAAAGGGGAACTTAAGCAATGTGTCTAGTAAAATGAGATTCAAGAATGAGTGGTAGTAGATAAGCATGAATAAGGTATAAAAACTCAATTACTGTTACCAAAGAATAATGTTGGTTGGATCATATTGAAATAGGGTGACCATATAATATATCATCCAAACCAGGTCACTTGCACTGAAAGATGGAAAACAAGTTGGACTGATGGGTCAGGGAGAAGCAGCCACCTTGGACTTCACAAAGGCGATTTAGCGGAGAAATGTGTTCCAGATCAGGGGTGGTTCTACTTACCTTTACTACCGGTTCGCAATGGGAGCGTGTGCAGATCGTCAATTATGACATCCGGGCAGGTGGGCAGAGCCTCCCGCCACTTTTACTACCAGTTCTACTACCAGACAGAACCAGGAGCAACCCACCACTTCTCCAGTTGCTACACATACATGGAGGTTAAAAAAGGAAGAAGAAATGTAGAACTACTAGTACTGGCCTTGCTTCACTAAGCCATATAGTCAGTCTCTCTCTCTCTCCCTCTCCCTCCCTCCCTCCCTCTCTCTCTCTCTCTCTCTCTCTCTCTCTCTCTTACACACACACACACACACACACACACACACACACTCACAGAGAGAGAGAGAGAATAAATGAGTACTGAATTACAAAACAGATTATTTATTTATTCAACATATTTTTGAACAGTGCATCTCCCTCAGAGAGGGACTCTGGGCAGTATATAATAAAATGTTAAAATATAAAAACAGTATATAAAAATTAAATAAAGTTAGAAAGAGTCCAGAATGATTAGACATTGTTAAAATTAATTAAAAGGCATGGTGAGGACTCCCAGGGCACCAGCCAGCCCTATGACTGTATGCTCCTCTGGGCTCCCCATGCAAGGCCTGAGAGCCATGTTTTGATTCCTTTTCAGAAGGCCAAGAGAGTGGAGGCTGACTTACCTCGGGGGGTGGGGGTGCATTCTGCAAAGTGGGGGCAACGGTAGACAAGGCTCTTTTCTTGAATCCTGTCAGTCGGAGTTCTTTAGCAGGGTCTGCAACATACCTTCCCTGCCTGACCAAGTGGGGTGGATCAATGTAATGGAACAAAGATGATTTGGTAGGTAGCCTGGCCCCATATGTAAAAAAAGAATGCACAGTAAAGAGCTAGTAAACCAGATTGTGCTTCTTGTCTGGACTGCCTAGCAGGATTAACATGGTTTGAAAAAGTTAATGAGATCCACCAAATGAGAGATATGATAAGCTTGAAGAAGAAAAGGCAACGTAAGAAACGGAATGGTAGAGCCAGGGTTGCTTTGCAAGGGGAGAAAGCTATGGAGAGGCCTAGCAAATGGTATTAGTATAAACTAGAATCAACTGTTATATCCTTTTCTTTGGCTTACTCATCCCGTAATGTCCTTGTCTTACTATTTCATATTTATTTTCTGTACTTTGCAGAGCACAGTTTAACCCATTAGGGAATAGCATGATGGGTATGTAAGTATATGATTACTTTCCAGTCATCTATTTAATCATTTTCCATTTCTGTCACATTAAAACTACAAGTTGCTAACAACTTTGGGAAGATTTGGGGGCTGCACCCTGATTTTTGGAAGGTTTTCAAGGGCTGTCGGTTGCCCTGGAGCCACATTGTTTACTCTGCTTATGAGAACCAAGCCTCTTTCTTGGGAAAAACCTGGGAATCCATTCCTAATTGCAGAAAATACGTTTTATTTAATTGCCTTGTATTCACTGTGAAATCTGCTCTTCACGAACAATTCCGTCAGAATTCCTCCTGAGCATTGTCTGGTTAAGATAGTCTGCCAATACTGCAATATTTAAGATAAATCGTCTTATATTACTATTGTTTGTCCAACCACAACATAAAATTAATCATAGGGGTTGTTGTTTTTTTAAAAAATTGATTCATATGCTGCATTTCTGTTTGAAAAGAGGAGTCCAGGTTTACAATTTAAGCCATACACAAAAAAGTACAAGAAATAAAAGCAAGCAAGTTAAACATGAATAAAATCATGGATGGCTACAGTTTTTTCTTTTAAATGGCTCTGACGATCCAAGCTCTGACGATCTCAGTTGAGTTGCCTGATCGGCAGAGGGTTTTTTAAAAACCCTCTGACAATCAGGCAACTCGGCTGGGATCGTCAGAGCCTTTTGAAAGCAATTTTTACATGGTTTTACATGTAAAAAATGGTTTTAAAAGTAAAAAAAAATTGGCCACGCCCACCCAGTCACATTACCCCCCCACTAAGCCATGCCCTCAGAACCAGCAGTAACAAATTTTAGATTTCACCACTGGACCAATCATCTCTTGGCCCTACTCCTGAGTCGTCCTCTCTGCTTTAGCTGCTCCTGCCTTCTGGCAGCTCTTCTCATACATGCACTAGGAACAGGCTCCTCCTGTTCCTCTGCCTCTCTACTGTCAGCCTCTGGGGCAGGGATGAAATGCTCCCGGTTCGGACCGGATCGCCCGATCCGATAGCAATGGCGACGGGTGGTTCGGAGAACCGGTAGCAAAAATCCCTGCATTCCCCCCACCACCACCATGCCCAGCTGAGCCGCATGATCATCAGAGGCTTTTTTTTTTTACTTTTAAAAGCATTTTTTCTACTTCCACCGAAAAAATGCTTTTAAAAGTAAAAAAAAAAAAGCCTCTGATGATCGCACAGCTCAGCTGGGATCATCAGAGCCTTTTCAAAGCATTTTTTAACCACCTCTTCCCCGGAAGAGGTTGCAGAAAAAAAATGCTTTAAAAGTCTCTCTGACGATCAGGCAACTCAGCTGGGATCATCACAGAGACTTTTAAAGCATTTTTTTCTGCAACCTCTTCCAGGGAAGAGGTGGTTTAAAAAAATGCTTTGAAAAGGCTCTGACGATCCCAGCTGTGTTGCCTGATCGGCAGAGACTTTTCAAAGCATTTTTTTGCATTTGCAGAAAAAATGCTTTGAAAAGTTTTTTTAAAAAAAAGTTGGCCACGTCCACCCAGTTGCATTACCCCCACACCAAGCCACACCCACAGAACCGGTAGTAACAAATTTTACATTTCACCCCTGCTCTGGAGTCTCCGAAGTCCGCGTATCACTCCCCAATGGCCCTGGCTCCATCTCTGCCTCCGACGCAGAGCCCTCATTTGGGCCTTCCCCAGTCTCCAGGACTGGCCCATGTTCTTCCTCAGCCTCATCGCTGTCTGACTCCACTGCCAGCTCCTCAGGCTGCTGGTGGACCACAACATGTATAAAGACACACATTAACACCATGAGGTGTGTACATACCGACCCACAAGCAAAACACTAGCACAATCCCTGGGAAAAAGTAGGCACATACAAACTTAGGTTCATGCAGCATGTAATAAAAATATGACAATGCAGACCTACATAGAAACAGACAATATTTATCTATTTAGATGTACATATACCCTGAGTAGACTACCTAGGAAGAAAGTGCACACACATACATGGACCTGCATCATGTGGAAAGAGAAGAAAGATATGCAGGTCACAGGAGAAAAGAGATGATACTTATGGCTGTAGTTGATCAAGAGACTGCATCAGTGATGGGTTCCTCCCGGTTCAGCATGGTTCGGCCAAGCCGGTAGCGGTGACAATATGACGTCACCGAACCGGTTCTCTTTGTTTGGGAGCTGCTCGCCCCCGCGTTATTTTTACCTTTTATTTGGCTCCGCCCCCAATCTATTCGCTGCCTCCCGAGTCCCAGCTGATCGGCTAGAAGAAAAAAAACTGTTTAAACTCAGGGTTTCAAAGGGCTGCCCTACAGCTGATCAGTCAATCCGCTTGGAACTGGGCATACCATCTTTCGCTACTGTTCTGTGGAAGTGTGCTATTGGTTACTGGCTGACCCTGTGGGTCAGACTTTCAGACAACTATTTAGGCCAGTGCTTATGGCGGGACGACTTCCACAGTCCTTGGGCTCGCAATATTCACACCAAATTTATGAAGAAAGGTATTCCCCCTATTGAAGCCCTTATGCTTGGCCCAGATGCAGCCAAATCGCTGATATTTCAGCAATTGGATAATATTGAAAGACAACAGAATCTGGCACTTGGTGCGGGAGTATGTTCTCCATTTTCTCTTGGTATTATTCCCCGAATGCACCCCCCCCAAATATCTCTCGACGCTATCCTTTGTTAAATATAGGTTGGCCTTTTTAAAGGTACGTTTTAATTTGATCCCCTCGAATGTCCTAGATAGCAGGTGCTCGGGGGGGGTGAAATCCACCCACTGTTCATGTGATGGCCGATCTCCAGAATCGTTGGCTCACATTGTATTTACATGCCCCCATTATCGGGAGGTAAGGTCAGAATTTATCTCTCCCATTTGCCAAAGATTTCCTGGATTATCTGAAAATCTTAGTCTTCGCTTCTTACTCCAAGATACTGATTCTAAGATTACACTAAAGGTAGCAAAAAAATTTGCTGCAGTCTTGGGATGCAAGAGCCGGGGGAAGGGATGGGCTGGACCCACTGACTGAAGTTAGCTTTATTGATCGCTAGCGGTTGAGTTAGCTGGTGGTTGTATAAAGTGCCGATGTGTGGATTTTATGCAAATTGCAATATAGTATTTTCTACCTATGTACAATTTTAATTGACTATAGTCCATATAGATTGGAGCTAAAAATTTAAAATACATGAACTGTGAGTCTGACGGAGTGGTTTCCACCACTGATCTTGTTGCCGTACTGCACTTCAGTCTGGTCATGTGCCAGCTATGTGTCCTGGATGTTTTGGTTTTTTTTGGTCTATGACAGCAATAAAGTATGCTGCTGCAGCTGATCAGTGTTAAAAGGCAGTGTGGTGGTAGACCGGTGCCTCCAAAAACAAATGGGTACACCGGAACGCTCCAAGAACAAATGGGTAGACCGGTACAGCACTGCAAGCAGTTAAAAGCCTGGTAGACCAGTACCTCTGATAAATCCTAAAGAATTGTCACATGACCATCAAACCATGCCCACAAAATAAGCCACGCCCACAGAACCGGTAGTAAAAAATTTTAGAACCCACCCCTGGACTGCATGCTATCCTTACCTTGTTGAACACCGGATGGATGGAGATGAACCTGTAGTGTAAATTAGTGCAGTCTGTTTCTAGCTGCTTGGTACTAGACAGTGTTTCAAAATAGTATATTATTATTATTACATAATATTTAATATTTAATCATTAAATAATAACTAATATTATTAAATATCAGTTCCTGGACAAAGAGTAAAGCTTGGGGTCTCAATGTTCCGATTAGGACTTGATAGGATTTTGAAACCATCCAACAGGGTTGTTGTTTTTGTAACAGCCCAACATTTCAATCTAATTTAATATTCCTTGTCTAAGATTATTCTCAGGATGGAGATCATTTTTAGAGGAGAAGTAAAAGGTTGGAAAGTTGGATGCCCCCTGTCCTCTAACCATTTTGGCCCAGAGCTTCTTTTTAGAATAGAATGGAATGGAATGGAATGTAGAATAGAATAGAATAGAATAGAATAGAATAGAATAGAATAGAATAACAGAGTTGCAAGGGACCTTGGAGGTCTTCTAGTCCAACCCCCTGCCCAGGCAGGAAACCCTACACCACTTCAGACAAATGGTTATCCAACATCTTCTTAAAAATTTGCAGTGTTGGCGCATTCACAACTTCTTCTACCTCCATTTTTCTCTGATGATAAATTTTATTCCTTGGGTATCCCCGTCAAGCTGAGTTCAGCTCCTGGTAGAACAGAGACAAAAACCTTACTCCATTCAGACTATCATTTTATCTAAATAATAGGAGTCTTAACGTCAGTAGTAAACATTGCAGTAGACTTTAGAGCACAGCTTGTTGAACAACAAAAGAAATTGAATGTATTGGACTTGATTGCTTTCATAGAGTAAATGAGAAATGAGTAACTGAGTAAATCATTATGTTGCTGAAGATGCAGTGGGAACAATTAAAACATGTTTTTGTTATGTTCTACAGTTCTTATGTTATGGGAAGAAGTAATTGTGTCTATTAATTTGACTTTGAAACAAGATTTAATCTTTTGGGTAGAAATGAACTGGACAAAAGAAATGGATTCTCTATGCCCTTTCTTTTGCAAACATATTAGTCTTTCAATATTGGAAAGACAAATACATGACCCCAATTACACAGAGGATGGAAGAACTGATGTTAATTAGGATTTATGAGTGAGGAGCTTACAGCCATGTATTATGTGTACACAATGACAATGAAGTAAGGTCAACCTTTATTGATACCATTGTGCAAAATAATTTTGAATATATTTATCTAAGGAATCCTGTACATGTAAGAGCTGAATGAAAGGTAATGCCTCCAATGGTTTAAGTGACCAACAGCTCTAAAAGCTCTCTGTGTGTTCTTTAACTTATGTTTTTCACTTCAACTGGCAGGAATTTGACTTGAAGAAAGGTTGCCTTGCTATTATTTATGAAATGGAAGCTTGCTGTATTTGTCTGCACACTTTAAGCACTGTG